AAATAAAAATAAAAATAAAAATGGCAGCACAACATCACTGAAAACCGGACATTAACTGTGACTTCTCTGCTGCCCAGAAGCCCAACTCAGGAGAAACAGATCAAGACTCACAACTCACATCAGAAGAACTAGATAACGTTCCATTCCTAACCTAGGAATACTAGCCCTATGCCTGTAAAAGAAATCACACTTGGTTTTGGTTTTTGCTTTTTGAGACAGGGGCTCTGTGTAGCCCAGACTGGCCTCCAGCTCCTAGTGTACCTCCTGCTTCAGCAAACCACTGGCAAGAAATCAGACTTCTAATTAACAACCTCTGACAAAAGAAAAACCAGTCTAATGGTTTCACTGGTAAATTCTGCCAGATATTTTAGGAATATGTTTATTTAAAATTATTTATTTAAATAATCTTTTTTTAAAATATTTATTTATTTATTTTGTGTGTGTGTGTGGCCAGCTCAGCCCACCAGGGGGCGGGGCTGGCTGGCATGTGGTGCTGGGGGATTGAACCACAGTCCCTGTGTTTTGCTAAACTTGTTCTAAGTAGGTGCTTTAGACCACTGAGCCATCTCACCAGCCCAGCTGAGGTGTGTTTTTAAAAAAAACAAAATAAAACCGATAAACTTCTAGCTAGCCTGACAGAATAAAAAATGGCAGCACAGGGCTGTTGAGATGGCTCAGTGGTCTAAAGCACCTACTTAGAACAAGCTTAGCAAAGCACAAGGGACCGCGGTTCAATCCCCAGCACCACATGCCAGCCAGCCCCGCCCCCTGGTGGGCTGAGCTGGCCACACACACACACCACACACTCTCTCTCTCTCTCTCTCTCTCTCTCTCTCTCTCTCTCTCTCTCATAAAAAAAAAAATTAAAAAAAAATTAAAAAAAAAAAAAAAGTAAAATAGGGGCCGGGGAGATGGCTCAGTAGGATAAGCGCTTGACTGGCAAATGCAAGGATCTGGGTTCAATCCCCAGTTCCACCAAAATTAAAAAAAAAGTATAAAAATTAGGTCAATTTCCCATCGTCTCTTCAGGAAGCAGGGGAGGACAGAGCTGGTGCTGTCCGTGGTGACAGGGTTAGTGCACAGACCCTGCCTGAGTCCATCCTTCTGGTCAACACTGCTGGGACAGAAAGACAGAAATGAGCCCTCGGTGGTCTGCATCACCTGCTTAGGCAAATGCGCAGGGACCGTGGTTCAATGCCAGGCACCACAGGCCGTGACAGTCCCTGCCCCCAGGATGGGCTGAGCCGGCAAAAAAAGAAAAAGAAAGAAAGAAATGAGCCCTGCCAGTCACTCGGGACCTGGGGACGCTGATCCCGAAGGGAGCCAGGCATTCAGCTCAGGAGTGAGCGGTGGGGCCCCGCGAGGTAGCTCAGCAGACTTAAGGTCCTGCATAAGCAAGCGCAGGGAACAGGTTTCAGTCCCTGGTACCGCCCCTGGGTGTGCTAAGCCGGCCAATGAGACCGGGTGTGGTGGCACATGCCTATAATTCCAGCACTGGGGAGGCTGAATACAGGAGGATCATTACGAGTCCAAGCTGCATAGTGAGACCCCATACTAAATACATTTTAAAAAAAGGTATGAGCTGTGGGTGCAGGGCCAGGGGACCCAACCCAGGCAAAGAGTAGCAAGCTGCCCCAGGAGGGCGGAGAGCAGCTGCTCTCAGCTCTTCCAAACAGCCTGACTATGAAGAGATGTTGGAACAAGAAATGCAAGGCCATTGCCAGGTGTGCTGGTGCACTCTTACAATCCCACCTATGCAGGAGGCTGAAGCAGGAGAGTGCGAGTTGGAGACCAGGCTAGGCCATTTAGCAAGACCCTGAGTTGAAGGAGGAAATACAGAGGGTGGGAGTGAGAGCCGAGCAGAGGCTCTGGGTTCCATCTGCAGAAGCAAGGAGGAAGCAAAGGAGGCAAGGGGACGCTAAAGGCTGCCGGGTGTGGGCCGCAGTTCCCTTGGAGGAAGGGCTGGCCCAACAGTGTCCCTGGGTGAAGCCGACCAGGGAGGGGCGCTGGGGCCAGGGAGGGGCGCTGGGGCCAGGGTGCAGGGAAGCAGCCCAGTCGGGAAGGACACGGCGAGGACGTGGGGGGAAGACGAGGCAGAGGAGACACTGTGCCCCCTGGACACCGCGGCGGGGCAGACATGCAGGCCCTGTGCGGGAAGGCGAGGGGGTCAAAGCCCGAGCTTCGCAGGGGCCGCCTGGGCGCGGCGTGGCTGGGGCGGGGTGCAGGCCCGGTGCAGCTCTGCGGTCCGCTTGCCGGGTGCCGTCTTGGGTCTCTAAGAAAAGCAGCGGGACGGAGATGAGCCCAGGCTGAGCCGCGGGGGGCCGCTCGGTGCCGGGAAGGGTGCGGGGGCGCACTCTCAGCCGCTGTCTCCCCGCAGGCCTCGTGGGCCCCCAGGAAAGAGCCGTACGCGCCGGAGATGCTGGCGATCTCCTTCATCTCAGCCGTCAACCGCAAGCGCAAGAAGCGGCGGGAGGCGCGGGGCCTGGGCAGCAGC